AATGGGCCAAATCAAGAGTACCTTTAAGCGACGTGCGCGTATGCGTAGGTATATGGATCTGGAGGAAGCGAGAGAGGTGTGTCCGGATCGTGCCAAATGTAAGTCCATAGTCTCTGCCTACCCCTCTGGGTGACAGGGGTGAGTGTTTATATATGTTATGAGATTTTTATACAGGATTATTTTTTAAAGATTAGCCAACTTTAAACTTAAGTTCAAATATATAAATAATGATATACCGTTATTGTAGTTTTTGAAAATACGAGTAATTAAGGCTTCTACTTTTATTTTGAAATTATCCCAAATTGATTGTGAATGGCAACAATGTTTTCGCCTACCGATCGACTCTAAAGAATGTGCGCGTGCGCAGTAAAATCAGTTAAAACAACGCATTACCACGAATTTTGAATTTCAAAGATAAAAGGGATAGAATGTTTGAGAGTTTTTTTAATTAATTTTTCTTTACCATTTGCCTATATTACTTATTATGAACTTTCTCTGCAAATTTGGCCGGTTATTGCAAAATAACTGTAACTGTTTACCGCCATGTATCGGAAACCATAAGAATTTTCTACCATTTCCCACTGTTCCCTTTAACCCCACTAACGGGACGTAAAATCTTCACTTACGCCATAAAATAATAGCTTATAACAAATTAACTTTGCAACAAATATTAAGTACAAAAGCAGAATAACTTTCAAATATAAAACGTAATATTTCAGCGAGGGACGATGTTTGACTGCTGTATCACAAAAGCTTTCCAATTAATATAGTTGTTAAAATCTACTAGTTAAATTAAAAAGCAGTATGTCACGTTAAATCAATATTGTTTTATGCAACATACAGTTCGTGTCCGCTGCAAGTGAAAGATGACCGAAACATCACTACGCTACCTATTAAAATCTAGTATTTATTGTGCGCATGCATCGGTTATTCAGAATTTTATGTCAATTTTAGTGTATATGTTCAAATATAAATTAAAGTGAAAAAATATAATGATTTCTTATATTTACGCGAAAATAACACATTCAAATAAAACTAAATTATTAAAAAAATACTAAAAATTATTATTTTTTTTAAATCTGGAGTTAGCCGTGGTTAACTATGACATTGGGACGTCAAACACTGTGGTCCCCCCGTGACTATGGGTGGTGTAAAGTACTCGAAACGTCGGGAATATAAAATAAGTTAATATACGCGATAAAATCCGTAAAACTAGTTTTATTTTAATGAAAAATATAACTTTATATATAAAATTCCGGTGTGCGCGTGTTCTTAATTCTTGTCCTGCTAAACGACTAAACCGATATTTATGAAATTTCGGTCACCTGGATATTTCTTAAATATAATTAGACCTGGTAGGTGGCGCTGTTGTCAGGACCAAGAAATTACGCTGAAAACCGGGGCTGATCACTAATATAAGCATAATATTATGTATGTTAATGAAATATTTTTTTACTTCAACATAAATGATCTTTATGACGTTTTCGTTCACGGTCGAGCAGTTGAAAAAGAAGTAGTTTGTTTAAAAGTTTACATATTATTACCTGATACATATCATGTAAAAGACATAGAGTAAATTTGACTCTTCGCTCTATTGTAGAAGTCGAATTTGCATGTCTCACAGAATACGAGCGAGAAATAGTAACTTTATGCTACTGTGTACAGGAAACGAGACATTACATCGTAGTCTTCAGTGGTCACCGCTGCATTTTAATTTTTAATCGAGGATAGATGTAGCATCTAATTTTTTTAGGTCCAGGTGAACTGTATGCTCGTTTGTCATTCTTATCTATACAAATAAATAAAATTGAAATGTCTGTTTGTAATGTTAAAATAACAGCTTTTTACTAAAGGCATATAAATGTATATACGGTACTTATAACAAAAACACAATTTTTAAAATGTTTGTCTGTCTGTCGGTCTGTCTTTCTGTCGGTATATCTGTCTGTCTGTCTGTCTGTCTGTTTCGGCTAATCTCCGAAACGGCTGGACCGATTTCGACGGGATTTTCACTGGCAGATAACTGATGTTCTAAGGAGTAATTAAGGCTACTTATATTTGAGAAAAATAATGAGGGTTCTGAGCAATATAATTAAAACCCTAAATTTCACGCGGGCGAAGTTGTTGGGAACAGCTAGTTCTACAATAAAGTGTCAACAGCCTTTTACGTAACGAATGGCAATTCACAATGCTGTGTTAGTCGTAGTGAAAGTTGATTGCGTTAAGAAGCATGAAAGTAAAATTAATGCTGTCATTAAGTAATATGTTATTTAGTTACATGTATAATGTCTTTTATATTTCATCTCTAAAATTTTATTATGCAAGCCATTTACTTTTCTTACTTATACTTCCTTCATCCACCTTCTTTACTCATATTTACCCACTCTTTAATTACGCACAAATTGCAATTTTTCTAGAGCTCTATAATAGACTTATTACTTATTTTATTTTCTTGATCATTTTAAGTAGACAGTTAGAATGTCACCTGAACAATTCACTATTCTATTATACTTATATACTCTTGTATTTTTTACTAGCTCTCCTTCGTTGCTGCGCCCGCGTGGAAATTACTACGATTTCACGGGTTTTAATTTTTTTACGCGGAACTCTAATTCATTTTCTGAAATAAAGGTATCCTTAGTTACTTCTTATAACATCAGCTATCTGTCAGGGAAAGTCCCGTCTAAATCGGTCTAGCCATTTCGGAGATTAGCCGGAACAAACAGACAGACAGATAAAAACTTAAAAAATTGTTGTTTTGTTATTAATACCATATATATACTTTCATATGTATTTAATAAAAACCTTTTTTTTAACATTACAAACAGACACTTCAATTTTATTTATTTGTATAGATAATATAATATTATTAGAATCACAAACGAGCAAACAGTTATCCTGATGTTTAATTTTACTTCTAAACAAACGAGTTTTCTACCTAGATCCGTTTCATTTATTCCTGCCCCCAAATAGAAGAGAAAACATCCTTTGTTGTTGTTCCGGTTTGGAGAATATATTATAGCCAGAATAATTACAGGGTGTGCGACATTCGATCGTAAGCCGCAGAGGTGACACCGCATTTGTAGCTTTGTTTTGTTAAAGACAGTTGTAGTACAAAATACAGTGGACCCCCGGTAATCCGGCCCTTGTATATTATTTTATTTTAGTCTATTATTTATTATTAGATATTTTTTCGACAATCTTCGCAAATGCATGATTAAACAAGTTATAACTTGTACGCAACACCAATATTGCACAAGATTCAATTAACGCCTTTGAGTTGGGTTTGCAATGGGCTGAAGAGAATGGTGCATCCTACAACGAACTTCTACTTTTGAGAGGACTGAGGGACAAAGCTTTAATCTCACGTTTCAACAATGTTAAACAAAAAAAATTATGAATATTTTCATGCTTCTTAAATTGATTGATTTATAATTTTTGATTATTTTAGTATGTACATTTGTTTGTACACAATTATTTCCTGATGTAAAGTTATTGCATATTTTTTATAAGTTCTATAGCATTAATGACGTTAATTTTATAATAATTTACTATATTTGGCAAACATAACGAAGTATAATTTTTAGTTCAGAGTACATATATTATATAACATATAGAATCTTATAATTGGATCTGGAATTTGTCGGATTACAAGGTACTCTTTTAAAAAAAAATCCGGATTATAGTTGGTCTTAGACAGTACTCTATAATCCGACAAATTCGATAGTCCGACACAGCCCTGCAAAATGTTTGTCGGATTACCGGGGGTCCACTGTATAGTTATTGGCTGTTGTAGCCTCTTCTCATTGTCATTATGACTGCCTCTGCTCTAGTGGTCAAGAGCTCGACGGCTGATCTTGAGACCCTGGGTTCGAATCCCGGGTCGGTCCAAGTAAGTAATTGTTTTGTTAGTTTGGGTTTTTCAATCAAGAAATCTTGGTAGCAGCCCGGAGTCCTGTAGTTTGCGATGTTTCACCCCCGTGTCTCGGAATGCACGTAAAGTCGTTGGTTCCGCGCCTGATGTCTCTCTGATATATAAGAGTAAAGGAATAGAGATTGCACCTATACTTGCGTACACACTCGTGCATTATAAATCCTGTCCTGCGCCGATGGTTAGTCTCCGTTGAGACCGGCCGCCGTGACCGAAATTCGGCTTGGAGGACATTATTAGACTCTTCTCATAGGGCGGACTATAATAACCTTGTTTGTCAGTATGAGAAAATTCGAGCAATAGTTACTGGACATTACACTGTACTATCTATGTTAAATAAATAAAAAAAACCCAGTTTCCAATGATAGAAAATCGTGTGTCTTTTTTTCTCACTCTTAAATAACACATTATACGTGGTAGAGCCATACTGCAGCTATATTAGTAGTATAGTTGTAGCACGAATGGGTCGGCTCGACCGGGATAGGACGACGCTCTCACAGAACACCAGCGTAAAATAGCAGCTTAATGCTGCTGTGTTTCGTATGGTGAGTGTAGAGAACCGGAGACCTCTTTACTGGAAACGAAGCATTCAATCTTAGTCCTCAAGGGTGACAATGCATCTGCATTTTGATTCGTAATCGAGGATAAATGTAGATGTCTATGGGCCACAGCAGCCACTTACCATCAGGTGGACTGTGTGCTCGTTAGTCACCCTTATCCTATAAAAAAAACACTTATTCAAATGTCACTATAGAATAAATATGGTGAGTTCCATAAAAAAGTTAAAATTTATTTAGCTTCAAGGGTTTTAAGATAATTGGAGCGAATCGTTATTGCGAGGGAACAACGTGTTGATTATTTATTTCTTCGCTATCAAACAACAAGTAACATTACAGGTAACTTTAAAAGCCTGAAGCGTAACAAGCCAACATAATGCTTAAATGTGTTTCTTTTATTTCGAAATTGGAATACTTTAAACATAGTATAAAACAAAAGGAGGTTTCCAATAATTTACAACCAGTTAATACAACGAAAAAAAACGAGAAAGTACGAAATTAAACATATTTACCTGCGAAAAGCCGTTGTCGTCTCAATTATCTGAGGAAAAAACAAAAAAAATAATTAAAGATTGTTAATAAAAAATTACCGTAATCGGGAATATTATGCTTTTTATTTATTTATTTGCATAACATAAAAATAATATGCAATATTTATTACAATAAAAAACTAAGTCATATTATAACACAGTCTTATTCCAAACAGTATAGTAACAAGAACTCTGGTTGCGTTTAATCGTTATATTTTGGGTATACTTAGCCTTTGAGTAAGAAAGAACCCAGTCCTCTTGTCTTCAGAAAGGACTTTTGCTAAGAAATTAAGCCGCGCGTTGACTCCACGAATCGTTAGCATCTATAGCGAATAACACAAATATAACAAAGTCGCTTCCCCAAGACTCGTATTTTCGTCACTTACTCAGTAACGCCTATGATGCCGCCTCGGCTCTAAACGATGTACCCATCCAAGTTCCTACACAAGACTTATACTCCTTCAAAAGTTCGAGACCTCGTACAGTATCATATTTGACGGCTCCGTGGCGCAGTGGCTTAGCAATTGAGTTGCAGCGCCAAGGACGGCGGGTTCGAATCGCGCACGGAACAAGTATTTGTATGGCCTACAAATAATTGTTCCGCGTCTGGATGTTTGTCCTTGTGCAATTTATGTTTGTAAACTACCCACACGATAGAGGAGAAAATCCTAGTGTGGAGGTTACGTTTTTTTTAAAATAATAAAAATATTATATGTACATCAATCCGACTGCCAAGCATGACGATTGAGGCTTAAATACTTCCTACAATAAGAGAGTCATATCAGTATTATGCTGCTATTTTACGCTGGTATCTTATAAGACGATGATCCAACCGTGATCGGTGCTGCAGCCATAACTTTTATATATTGTTAATGCTGCGTGTGCGGACAACACAATTTGGTTCTTAATATTTTGAATCGGAATTTAGTTGTCAGTTGAGGTTTGTCTTAAGGCGATACCCCGACCAAAACCTTACGATGGTGCGTTTTCCTTCGTTATTCAGAAAATATTATCTCATTCGTTATGAGAAATAAACTACATCTAAAATCACATTATTAATGCTCGCTATCCTATCATCACATTCCACGTTCTAATTTGTTTTAATGTGTTATAAATACATTTAAAATCTACTTTTAAAAAATTACTAAAATTATTGATTACATGCATCTGGCAACGCTCTAGTCATTAGAGGATTACACTAATGGATAGATATTTTTATATTTATTCCTTTTTAAAAAAAATTATTCCAAAAATTGTGTTAATTCTATAATAATTGGGCGTACGCAGAGTGCGAGCGGCAGTGCAATGCATGGGCAAGGATAGGGAGTTAGGGAAACGCCTTAAGTAGCAACTAAGCCGCAATTTATTACCGTAGATATAAATATCATTAGTTTTCGATTTGAATTGTAATTGTGACCGTCTTTCTGGCACTTCAACCGGTTGTACTTTAGATTTTTAAGCGACGGGACACGTACATTATTTTGAGGTCGTCTAAATTACCTAGAATTTTTAATTTATTATTTGATTTAACTGATATATTTTTATATTTATTAATTTTTGTACAGACTTAATACAATTTCTACACTTAACGAACGAGCAGTAGGTAGTTATTAAGATGCCGATAAAACTCAAGGAAACATTTAAAAAAGATTATTATTAACATAAAAATTGGGCTTAATATTTAATAAAGTAAAATATGATACATTAACTTATTATAAACAATGAATGTCAAAAATATTACCACTTATATAAGCATTATAAATATCAAGTTTTCTTTAGTAATTACAAACAGGCAAAAGCAATATAGCTACATTTTTAATATGTTACCTAGTTTATTATATGCATGAAAACTGTTTTATCCGAATAAATTAAAACCATTAACAAAATAAACCAATACGTTTAATTAGCTGGCATTCAATAAATAGCTGCCTATATATTATGATAGAACCAGTTTCATTATGGTTGTATCACGAATGGGTCAGCTCGACTGGGGTAAGACCACTCTTTTACAGAATATCAGTGTCAAGTAGCAAATTAATGCTTCTGTGTTTTCTATGCTGAGTGTAGAAAATCCGAGACCATTTTTTACTGGAAACAAGGCATTCCATCTTTCTCACGGGTGACAACGCATGTGTATTTTCATTCTTAACACTTTCATTATCCCATTTTCAGACACAATAGTGAAACAATAACAATGAACCATATGTAGTACACGGAATAGCAAGAAGGTTAATCGAGAAAAGATGTAAATGTCTATGGGTCACATCACCTACTTACCATCAGGTGGATAGTAAGTGGGTGCTGTGACTCTTTAAAAAAAGTCATCGAACTAAACAGCTACCTACTCATTTTGACATTGAATTAAAAGCCAAGTATATAAGTACTGGCGGTTAGAAGTAATTGGCTGTGTAATTTAAATTAAGCAGTTTTTACGTTATCGAAAATCTAAATCTATTCATAAAATATCCAACGCCCTTAACACAAAAACTCACAACGGTACCACTATAGCCGGTTAAATTATAGACCAGGGTACTTTGACAGTAAATTGGTGCGTGCTATTGTTAATGTGAAGTCACATAACTTACACTTTACGGCATCGAAAGCCTTTATTTAATCGCTATTATGAGTTTTACCTAATAATAGACATCATTTTGAATTATGGTCATTGTTCATTATTCGAAATGTGGACCTAAATGTTACATATATAATATACATAAACATCCACGCCTGTCACCCAGAGGGGTAGGCAGAGACTAAGAACTTCCATTTGACACGATCCTGTTAAAAATACCACCCCCTACTTTCGCACCATGAGGTAACAAAGAAAAGAAATGGCCCCGGGTTCCCGGCGCTCCTTTAACAAGAGGGGTGTAAAGAATCTCCGGGAGGAAAACCGGCGACGAAGTTCGTTAGATTATTGTTTGTGCATAAATTATTAAAGAAGTGCTGCAATACAATAACCTGTTTACTAAATGCATAATTATGAAAATATATACGGTATATATAAAAAACTACAAATTATTGTCTGTTTGCTCCGGCTAATCTCCGAAATGACTGGACCGATTTTGAAGGGACTTTCACTGGCAGATAGCTAATGTCATAAAGAGTAACTACTTTTATTTTAGAGAAGGAATTAGGGTATCGCGCAAAAAAATTAAAACCCTTAATAACACGCGGGCGAAGTCGCGTGGATCAGCTTTAAATAAATTTGAAGTAATACTTAATGTTTATTCATTTATTCACTACAGCCTCAGTGTCCACTGCCGAACATAGGTTTCCTGCGATAAAATAAAAATATATACAACGTGTAATAAAAACCCTGTGGTTCCCTTTAAGTGCGTTATCAGAGTCAGTATTCAAACGTAAAGAAATAACTTTTTTCCAAAAACTAAGATTAAAAATTATAATTATAATTAAAAAAAAATAATCTGCAAATTATATATGGTTTTATTACCTCTAACTGACACGAGCATTGGTGAAGGGGGGTCTTTTTCTCCTTCTCTTCTTCTTCTCCTTTCCTCTTATTCTCCGGGTAATGCAGAGGCAATAAAACCACATACAATTCGCGATATTTTTTAAATTAAAATATTTTTTAATGTTCAAGTTTTTTGAAAAAATGTTATTTCTTTACGTTTGAATACTGACTCTGAACGCACTTAACGGCAACCACAGGGTTTTTGTTTCATGTTCTATAATATAAACAGATTCGATTTGCGCAGCATAAACATAACATTGGGTTTTTCTGACAACTGTACTCTCTGAGAGTTTGTTATTCATTTTTGTACTGGCAGCAAAAATGTATCACCAAGAAAAACACGGATGTGAGGGTGTAAGAATATATACTACCCCATATCGTATGAGACGACAGCGTGAAACAAACCAGGAGATGAGCAGCAGCGCCTTCCTAATAACAACTAAAAATAAAAAACTGCAGTTGCCGACCCTCCTGCAAAGCGTTGCTACTATGGCAAAATCCCCTCTTTGAATTAATACATTACGTGGTAAGTCTATGTTCAGCATGGACAAGAAGTTTACAGCTGCGTCGTCACCTCTAAGGATTAAGATGAAATACCTTACAATCTGTAACTATACTGGCTTTCCTGTCATCATATTCATCATCATTGCAACCCTTCACAAGTCCACTGGTGAACTAAATCCTACCCCAGGGAATGCCACTCTGCATATTAAACTTAGAAATGAAGACATTCGCAGTAGAACCAGAGTGACCGGCTTTTCTGTAAACCAGTATAAATACATCATTACAGCCCTTCACAAGTCCAATGCTGAACATAGGCCTCCCCGTAGAAATGCCACAAAGCAGGTTCCGAGCCACCTGCATCCATTGACTTCCTGCATGTCTTACCAGATCGTCACTCCATCTAATGGGTAGACGCCCTATACTTCGCCTGCCGGTACGAGGCTACCACTCGAGAACCTTTCTTCCCCAGTAGAGCCATGATGCAGCTATATTACTTCTATAGTTGTTGCACGAATGGGTCGGCTCAACACCACGCTAAAATTGCATAAATTTCGTATGGTGAGTGTAGAGAACCGAAGACCCGTATTACTGGAAACGCGGCATTCCATCTTAGCCCTCACGGGTGACAACGCATCTGCATTTTGATTCGTCATCGAGGATAGATGTAGATGTCTGTTGGCCACGGCAACCATTTACAATCAGGTGGACTGTGTGCTCGTTGGTCACCATTATCGTATAAAAAATGCCTGTAATTATAACCTTCAGAGCGGAACAGAACAGTGCAAGCACTGCTAATAGTTGCAGCAAGAATAGGTAAAAGGGATTTTTGTCAATTGCTAGGCGTCGAATCATATTAAAGAAAGTCTGCATATCTGAGAAATAAAAATATTTCGAAGTCTATGTGCATGTGAAGTCCACCAACAAACACTCAAAAATGACCGTAGGTCTGCAGTATTTACCTAGCTTTTTTTTTAAACAATTGTTGTAATTACTAAATTTTGTTTATTTAAAAAAACCAACAGCGATTTAACA